ATGATTGCCACCTTTGCCGATGATACGGGTATTTTAGCCCAACACGATGACCATATACTCGCATCCACAGTTTTACAGCAGCATATCAACCAGCTAGAAAATTGGCTAAATACCTGGAGAATAAAAGTTAACACCACTAAATCTGCGCACATCACTTTCACCCTCCGCCATAATTCGTGTCCCACAGTCACATTTAATAATGTGCCGGTACCTCAAACAAATGCAGTTAAGTATCTGGGGATCCACTTGGATCGGAGACTCACCTGGCGAGAACACATAATCAAGAAACGCCAGCAGCTTGAACTTACGCGCAGGCAACTATACTGGCTAATTGGCTGGAGATCGAAAGTTTCTATTGAAAACAAAATACTAATTTACAAAACTATTATCAAACCAATTTGGACTTACGGCTTGCAACTCTGGGGAGCGGCCAGCAAGTCAAATATTACAATTTTGCAGAGATTCCAGAATAAAATTTTAAAACAGATTGCAAACGCCCCAAACTATGTTCCTACCTGGCTGCTACATCGAGATCTGCGCATACGAACCATTGAGGAAGAGATTTTCCAGTATTGCACCAAATACAAGAACCGACTAACACATCATCCCAACCAATTGGCGAATGACCTGCTCAGACCAGTTCCACCTAAGCGACTTAAGAAACAAACTTGCAATGAAATACTACATAATATTAATTGAACATATAAATATATATAAATATGTGTATTAAAAGAATATTTTATAATTACTAATTAAGACATTGTAATTAGAAGGAGCTATCAGTGGGTAGTTATCCTTCTCACGCCATTTTCCATAACTGTCAAAAATTTTAGCCTAATGTACATTGTATAGATTGCTATGATAAATAAACAAAAAAAAAAAAAAAAAATGTACTGCAATAATTTTGTTGATCGTAGGTTGAATAGAGAACATGTTTGAACAAGATTTGAATTGAAATTAATTCACTTCAAATATGAACTTAAGCAATAATGAATTATTAGTGAGAAAAATGTAATTTAAATATGAAAATTACTAAAAGCGAGTTAAAATATAGTACGAAATTATAAAAATTATAGGCAATGTTATTGAAGCAATTATTTTGGGTAGAAAAATCAAAGGTTAGGATATTGTACCTTTACCTAGAAGAATGCTATATATTAATACTTTCTGAATTTGCTATACCTTTTAAAGGACTTCAATTTTCAACACGTGTATCTTATGCTATGACCATAAATCACAATGGCTGGCAGGCGATGATTTTTAGTGTGATAAATTTGCAAAATCACTGATCATTCATTTATACATCCACATTTATAGGTATGACTAAAAATATTGTACAACCTTTGCATTAAAATAAATTGAGCTATTGGAAATATCTTTGTTATATAATAAATAAATTGCATTGTATAATTTCTGATATACAATTTTATTGAACATATTTTAATATTTGTTAAAGGATAATTAAAGTGTTAACTATGGGAATTGAGAATAATCATTTTATTTGAAGCAGTTCTACATTTATTATTATTTTTAACTGAACGATAAATATTAGTATAGGTTAAGAATATTAAAAAAACGTAGATGTGGGTACAGGACAACGTCTGTCGGGTCATCTAGTATTTATATAAATTATTGAAGCAATTATATTTGTTTAGAAATAACAAAGGTGATAGTGTTATATATATATATATATATATATATATATATATATATATATATATATATGACTCGGACGTTGTAGCTATTACTAGTTCCTTTGCAAAGTTTAACTCACCTCATTAGGGCAGTATTACGCATTATTATATATATGGATACATGTCTGGTCTGCTTGTGTGGCTATGGCTATGCATTCCTAAACCATACATCCAATCGCCGTGAAAATTTGGGGAAACTATAAAGTGATTCTGGTCAGGTTTCCACATATTTTAATTGAAATTTATTTCGCTTGAGTCAGTGAACGTTTTTCACTGAATATTGACCAAGATTTTTTAGGTCTAAGGAAAGGTTCTTATCAATTATTATTGTTAAATATATGAGATTGAAAAACTATACTATAAGAATTGGCCCCACACTGGTATTTAAATGATTTTGATGCCATTCTATAGGTATTTTCGAGAAAATCCGAAAAATAATACTAGGGTGGGACCAATTTTGTATGGAAACACGCTCATTCCCTTTATATTCAAATCGTGAATAGAATTTTTCGTATTATGTAGAAATGATATATAAAACTTATTTTACGTAGAATACATCAACAAGTAAATCTCGGCACCGTAAATAAGGAAATGTAGTATGGATCTCTTAGAAATCGATGCTAATATGAATCTACTCCTACAGTTCAACCATTAACATACATCTGCTATTTGCCTTTCGTTCAGTTAAAGCAAGGGCGAGCAACCTTTTTAGCCCACGGGCCAATTTACATTTTCAAATTTTTTGGCGGGCCGCACGTAATTTATATATATATATATATATATATATATATATATATACCAGCTGACCCGGCAAACGTTTAGCCACAGGAAATATTTTTAGAAAATCATTAGTATTAGAAATGACTTCTTCAAATATTTATATATTCAGAATACCAATTCTGAATGTATAAATATTATTACATTGATAATTTACCCACAGCAACGCTAAAATACTAACGTTCATATTGTAATTATGTTGTATTCTGAAAAAAAAATCCAGTCCTCTCAAAAACAGTTTTATCTCCTGATTTTAAAATTAAATTTCTAATTTTTTTGCTGAAATAGCTCCTTTTGTGAGACATTCAAAAACTATGTACTTCTTATGTACATCGGGAAATATTTGTACAATAGGATTAGCTTGCAAATCAGTTAGTTTTACCGGAGGTAACCATTTCGATGCCATTTTTAAAATGTTGCAGCGGATGATGTGGATAAGTTTAAGCTTTTTTATAAGCTCAAAAAAATCTTGATCGAATTTCAATTAAAAACGTTCACAAAAAAGGCGATAATAGTTAGTTGATCAATTACCGAGCTAAACAAAAAATGTTCATTATAAAATAATAAAAATTTGGAGTTGTATGTAGTTTTCCATTTCGCATAAAAAAATTAAGATAAAGAACAAAATTTAAAAAAAAATTGTTACGGCCGTACAAGCCATGATGAAAATAAATTGTTTTTTTTTTAATAAAATTGAAGCTTTTTCATAAACTCTGATAAAAGTCTGATCTAAAATTAAGTCAAAAGATTTATTGACTGAGTGCGGGAATAATGTATTTGCAACAAAATTACAAAATTGCCACAAGAAGAGAACAAAAATATAAAATTGAACAAAGTATATATTTTATATAATAAGTGTTTATAAATATTAATATAAAATGAAAACAAATAATATTTAAAAGAAAAACAATTTTACTTGATACCTTTAATAAAAAAAATGGCACTGCATTTTTTACATAAGTTGGTCAATATCAGCCGTTTTTTTTAGATTTTGTTCTTTATTTTAATTTTTTTAATGCGGAACGTAGCAACGCGTATGCAGCTTTGACATGTTTTACTCAGTTTTGATAGGTGCTAATTTTCTATGAATTTTATGGTTGAAATTAACACAGGTCCACAAAAAAGAGTTGTCTGAATTGGGTGTGTGACATATATATGTCTTCCAATGTACCTTTTACCGCTGAAGATAAATCTATAGTCAAAATTGGAGCACAAAAAATTGAAAAACATTTAAAAACTGGCACAATCTTTGTTCTAGATTTTTTTTGAATGAATTAATTATTTTCCAGCGACTTTTCTTTTGTGGGCTTGTGTAATTGTTCGCGCACATATGTACTTCCAAAAAAGAAATTGAATCGTAATTTGATTTACCTTTTTTTCAACAGCGAAAATTTCTCAGGGCTGACATAAGATTTATAAAAAAAATTCGATGTTCACTGAAAAAATGAATTTTTTAAATCTGTATTATTTTGCATGTTAAATGGCGAAGAAAACATTTACATGAAAACAGCTGTCTTGTTAGCTTTGAACATTTAGAATCACAATTAAAATTTGTTCATATTTTCTTTTTTCAATATGAAAAGTGAAACACAAGATTCTGCAAAAGATATTCTGTATTACCAAAATGACGAAAGAACTATAATTATTATTTCATATCCAAAAACAATTGTAATTCGCTATTTGAGTCGTCTACTCCTTAAAGCATTGCATCACTATGGAGATAACGTACTTTATTGAAAATCGACATGTTCACGAACTAAATTGCCAGAAAGTCTTTAAATTTACGATAATTTAACCCTTGCGACTTTATAAGATTTACTTATTTAAATATTTTAAATTTAGAAATGCGTTGTTGCTATGTTCTCGGACAAGTTCTCATTTTTTTTGCAATATTGAAGCTTGTTAAACAATACGTAAATAAATTAATATATATTTTATCAGGAAATTCTATTTCGTAGAACAACAGTTTTTACCAGAATTTGACTGACGAAAAAATTAGCTTTTACAGCCGTATTTGATAAAATATCTAGAAAAATAATCTGTTGTTGAGAAATGCTTGGCGGGCCGCAGAAAAACACTCGGCGGGCCGCATGCGGCCCGCGGGCCGCGGGTTGCTCATCCTTGAGTTAAAGCATAACACAGCAACGCGTGACCGGGTACAGCTAGTATTGAATAAATGCACCAGTTTCTAGTGGCAACATATGAGATAGGAGATGAACTGCTGTTTTGATCCAAAATAATAATATTCGCATTTGTAATTGAAATTTCAACTTAAGAGATAGGCTGAACAGTAACTCTTATACACTGGGCTAATATATTTTAATAATATTTACATCATAATGATAATTAACAGGGTTTTGTACTGCCTCAAGTAAACTGTTACCTGTTAACTCTTTTATACGTAACATGAGTGAGCTATCTTATCTTTAATGAAAAAATATATATTTTCAAATTGCGTAATTGTATTTCAATTTCACCTTGCATCTATTTAACTTTATAATTATAATTACATCATATTTTTTATTGCAGGGTGATAAAATGGATCCAGTACTATCGTTTTGGACACTTATGAGCAAGTACATATGTAACGACTATAGTATTTAATCTCTCAAATTATTCTTTTTTCATACATTATATAAAACACACACATACGCTGCATTAAGTTTCGAAGCAAAATTTAAAAAACGGAATATATTTAGTATATCTTAGTCTTTATAAACTGTTTTTAAATCGGACAGTTTATAAATGAAGATGCTTCATTTCAGCTAACATGTATGTGTGTAGAATTTTTTTTTCTTAATATTGTGATCAAGGTTTATGAATCTACTTATCAAAGCATATCACAGATGTTACTGGCACTGGAAATATTTATTCTTATGACGGTCTTGCATTGTCTTATTTTATTTAATGAAAAAACATTTTTTCATATTTTTTATGCTTTATAGAAGAAGTATCCTTACATTCAAAACTGCATAAGTATTCCTAAGAATAGTTATCTATTTCCTCTAAAAAAGCTATAGTTGTTTGTTGCTACAATATTGTTCACATGAATTGTATCTGCCTTGTATCTTTTATGAGGGCTTGTTATTATGCAAGATCGTACATTTATTGATATGAGTATCATATTTATTTACAGAACTACCTAATAACCAATTACTTTATACGTTCAATATAGTCGATTAGGTTTTTTTTAGAATTTATTAAAATAAGTAATTAATTGTTTCCTCTTCCTACCTCCTGCTCTCCTTTATAAGAAATTTATATGGTATATTCATATAAATGTGGAACTCTATGATCACTAATACGAAGATCTACTAAAATTGTGCAATTGAATTTAAAGAATTTCTATATGTTTTCGGCATACAATATTGTTACATTTTTAGTACAAGGTAATTGCAACAAATTATCTATCCTACTAAATGCAGACTTCTGATAGTGTTTTCGCGTAAATATTCTAATTTATTGAATTGAAATTCTGAGGCTGTCTATTTTAAAAATTTCTGTCAGAAATATTATGTTTAATGTTAAATGAAAGAATAAAAAGGGGTCCTCAAGGCCTGAATGAATGAGCTATCTAGAATGCTAGACAGAAATGTAATTATTTTGTTATACATTTACTACTTGCTTTATTTTAGGTTGAATATTTTTCTCTTCGACGTTCCAAGACTAATTTGTGATAAAAGGTATTCTCACTTTTCCTTTATGTTGACTCTTTGATGTCTAATTTGGTAAATTGGTCAAATATGAAGGCCAAAATCATTAGTCACGGCTGTATCAGAAGAAATACCTACACAAGTAATTTTGTAAAATATTATAATTTTGAAATTTCTTGTAGAATGATATTTACATTGCGTTTTATGCAATATTCGGTCGCATCGTGGTACTGGCATTCGCGCGGTGACGCCATAAAGTCTTTAAGTACAATCTCGTTCATAGAATAAACTTAAAATTGTATAGTTAGTATATTTTTAATAAAACGCCAGTACTTAGTAATTTTAATAAAAAAATATTAATAAATAAATATTATTTTAATATATTGTAATATATTTTAACAATTGTCCTTTTATCTATATAAAGACTAATTTTATACTTGATGAAATATGTAAATTTTGCTTATGTTATTCGCGTTTAAATCGTATAGATATATAACTATATATTATAATTTTCTCATATTTTTATTAAAACCGTGATATAGATAATAATAAATTGTTAATTATGGCAGTAACAAATAAGTCTGATAACTACATTACTTGAATTAATTAATATTGAAAATGTATAACTGTAGGAAATTTGTAAACAAACATTAGCCAAGAGTAAATTTTTCTGCTGTATGAATGTTTGAATGGCGTGAATTAATCAATGCAGAAGTCTCAATAATCCTTCAATCCATCGTCCATTCCTGATCAACTAGAAACAATAATATGATTTTGTGACTTTAGACTAAATAATCTATGTAAATTTATTTATTATTTTATATACTTTCATCGATTGTTTTTGTAGTTTATGCTTGTAAATTGGTTTCATTATGATGCAATAAATTGTTAACATAATATGGTAAATATTATAATTCTAAAATATAATTCTTCAGGCTCGAATTTGGGTTACAGATAAACATTTTTTTATTTAAATTTTAATATTAGGTGCGCAACTAAGTTTTCGCTGTTTTTCGATAAAAATGTATCTTTTTTATAAGAAATCTTTTATCAGATGTATTGCCTATCGCTAGGCACAACTTTTGCCCACCTTTCTGATTTTATGGCCGGGATTGTGTGTTATCATTCAGCAATTCTTTGTTAACAGTATCTTAAAAATATTTACAAAGATTTTTTAAAAAATAAACTTAATTTTATATTTAAAATAATTAAAAGATATACATATCACACCAGGAAAAAAATCATTTTTTAAAATAATTTAAAAGAAAACTATAAATTACATATAAAGTAAATATATAAACTAACAATATTAACTGAACATGTTTTGTTTTTAAATTTAAAACTGAACTTTGTGTAATGTAGTTATGTGCGTATGCGACTGCAACGTCAACGAGAACCACGTGACACACAGGAGAGAAGAAAATTTGGGATAGTTGAACCGTGAGGACAAAAATTTGGAAAATAAAACCTATCAAATAAACATGAAACAACAATAGCCAACAATTTGGAAAATTATTTATTAGTACATGACTCTTTATCGTTTTCATTAGTACATAACTCTTATAATATTATCAATTTTTTCAAAAAATAATTTTCCAAATTCTTGACTATTGTTGTTTCATGTTTATTAACTTCCCGTAGGGTAAGTTATAGTAATCGTCCAAAAATCGAAATCAAAAATTTTTACATTTCTCGACGTTTTGAAGGTTTCTGAACATTTTGGCATACCTCAGAAAAAATGGATGTGTGTGTGTGTGTGTGTGTGTTTTGTATGTCCGCGTTTTTTCGTCCACGTTTTCGGGCGCACGGATCAACCGATTTGAATGGTTTAAAAAACATTCGATTCCTATTGATAGGGAGATGTGCTGATTAGTTTTTGGCAAAGGCAGGTCCAGCCGTTACGGAAATATGGAGCAAAGAGTGCAAAAAATAGAAAGCGAGTTTTTGAGAGAACGGATCAACCGATTTGAATGGTTTAAAAAACATTCGATTCCTATTGATAGGGAGATGTACTGATTAGTTTTTGGCAAATTAAGGCCCAGAGGTTTCGGAGATACAGAGCTAAATTTTAAAAAAATTGCTGTTTTTGAGAGAACTAAGCGTCCGATTTAAATGATTCAAAGAACTTTCTGCTTTTTTCAACAAAATAATTGATTTTGGAAAAAAAAATTTTTGTTTCTAATTTTTTTTTCAAAAAATTTTTTTTGTAATTTTGGATTAAAAATTCAAAAAATCACCCAAGCTAAGCACAGTCTAAGCGCCACTCTGGTACAAATGTTTACCCAAGTGCGTTTAGACTGTTTGTGTACTGGAGCACTTTTCCAATTTTGTGAAAATTATTGAAAAATGTGAAAATGCCGCCAAGCTGAGCACAATATAAGTGAAAATGTCGCAAAGAATTATTTGCAAATGCGTTTAGACTGTGACTATGCGAGAGCACTTTTTCAATTTTGTGTAAATTTGGCAACTATTTTTTTTTTGGAATTTGATTCGAAATGAAATGACGATTGTTAATGTTCTGGAGATGATAAATTGATTTATTTATAATTAACTTTCCATAGAGTAAGTAATCGCAAAAAAATCGAAAATGAAAATTTTTATATATCTTCACGTTTCAGAGGTTTCTGAATATGTTGGCATACCTTGGAGAAAATTGATGTATGTGTGTGTGTGTGTGTGTGTGTTCGGATACAAATTTTCGTCGACGATTTCGGGAACACGGATGAAGCAATTTGAATAATTCAAACAACATTCGATTCGTATTGATAAGGAGACGTGCTGATTAGTTTTTGTCAAAGGTCTAGCCGTTCCGAAGATATGGGGCAAAAAGGGCCAAAAACGGTAACTCAGTTTTTAAGAGAACGGAGCGTCCGATTTGTATAGTTCAAAAAACATTTTACTTGTATTAACAAGATGGAGATTTGATCAAATTTTCATGAAGATAGGTCTAGCGGTTTCGGAGATCTAGTAAAAAAAAACTAAAAAAAAATTACATTTGGCGGTCAACAATAATCATTAGACATTAGACATATGCATATCAAATTATCAGATATTTTATTGAGATTTTAACAATAAGTATAAGTTGTTTACATTCCTATGGGTTCCGTACCAATGTTTTTCCGTTAGACACCGACGCGGCGCTTACGCGCTTTATATTTTGTCTCTATGCAATTAAAGCAGTACGATTGCTTTGAAAAAAAGTTCAGATCTTACAAAATATGTCAAAATGAAGATAATATTTTTTCCAAAAAAAAATTTATATAAAAAAAATTGTTTAAAAATTTAAAAAAAAAAAAATTTTTTTTTAAAAAAAGTAATTTTTTGTCCAATTTAAAATTTCTAAAAAATCTTATTTTTTCGAAGTAAAATTTTTTCAAAAATGTTAATCGTTTTTAAAAAAATAATAATTTTTGGCACGGGAAGTTCCAGCAATTTGCCTTAAGGCACGATGCCTTAATTGCCTTAAGACAGAATTCCACTTACAGCTAGTTTAATAGGTTTTATTTTCCAAATTTTTGTCCTCACGGTTCAACTATCACGTGTGTCACGTGGTTCACGTTGGCGTTGCAGTCGCATACGCACAGTGGCGGCGCGAGACCATCCGCAGGCGTCGACGAAATTAGTTTGCAAGCCCCCCTCCCCTTTTTTTAGGAAAATGCTGAATTACAAAAAGTGAATTATAGTTAAACTGATGTATGATAAAATGAAATTTATTGCAAATAAAGTAATAACATAAATAATTATGATAAACAAATATTACATAATCTAACTTTTCGGCTTTTTCAGATTGATTTTGTTATGTACTCTCCCGTTGTTTCAGCGACGACAATAAAACCAACAAAATGCTCCTCTATTTCTCCTGTTGGGTTAAAATCTTAAAATTATGGACATTTGTTCAACGCGGCTGACATCCCTAGTACAATCGAGCAAGAAGGCGTAGTATTTTGCTTTTTTAACTCTTCCTATGATTTCATCAACTACTGACTTAGACATTAACGCAATCAGTTCATTTTGAATGTCATTTTTTTTTTTTTTTTTTTTTGTTACAATTTATT